CAATATCATGGACGGAACATGATCCTCGAGAAAGTTTTAAGGAAAATGGAGACAAAATGGACACTTAGAATCGGAATGAAACACTTGAAATTCCTGAGGTACATAATGAGGTACTTATAAGTAGTTTTACTTATAAGTAGTTTTGTTGTACTAACTGTTCTATTATATCCAATAAAGCCTAATTTAAGATTCCCTGCTCCATGTCTTTTCTTACAATTTATTCGACACAATCATAAATACTTTTCAGTAACACTATCTCGGTCTCTGAGAAATATGGACAAAATTCTGTGACCTCAGATATTTGAAACTCTCCCAATTTTCGAAGAATGCTGAAAAGCATTAGAGGCACTGGTTTGCCACTTTTGAGAATTTTCTGCAAAGTATAGAACAATACGCCCCCGATCGACGAACTCCTAAACTTTATAGGCTCTTCAGTGTATGAATTAATTCCAGCCAACGAGAGAGCTGTCAATAGGCTCCAGCAATTGTATGACAAACCTAAGAATGAAATCTATGCCAGGCATATACTATCGATGGGCCGGCAAAAAAAAAACAGAAGAGACGTTAGACGACTTCTAAATCTGAGACATTTCAGTGAGGATTGTAAGTGCTGAGGTACATAGATACGAGGTCATAAAAGATACCATCATAAGTGGACTTTTGTCCGCTAATATTCGACAACGACTACAGCGAAAATGTAACTCTGGACCTCACCACTGCATTTGACCATAAACAGAGTTCTAGAACAAGCTCAGATAGGTTCAGAGTTCTACTCTATTTCTCAAACAGCTGTTCGTGCTGCGGTCCCTTTTGAGGGTAACCCCAGCAAACCGACAAAAAACATAGCATGCCCTGTGGCTTCTAAAACTCAAAAGTGTTGATTATATTCTGCAAGAGGGACAGAGGTGAAAAAAGAGGTTTATGGCAGAACGAAGACTAGAAGGAATTATAAGTAGAGAAACAATACTTAGAGATACAAAGAAGAGGAAGCTGTGGAGAATAATTATCACCAACATCCTGAAGTGTTGGCTTATTTAAATGTTTCGCTAATCATTACTCTACAGAAACACGCCGAATGAATAAAAAGCTGTTGGTTATATAATCGTCGCCATATACCATTGCATACATCTCAATAACCAAATTTTCAATCGAGGCAAACCTCAGTGCCTACTAATATAAATGGCCCTGAGATCTTCGCTACGTTAGACGAGAAAGTTCCTTCATTTCTCAACTCCCTCCCTCTTTCCACGGAGCACAAACTTATTAACATTTCTATCACAACTTTGTAAGTCTCAAGCCTTATCAAAAACCTCGACCCAAAGAAAACTGCTAGTCTAGATAAATCCCAATGATTGTTTTCAAGAATATTAACCCTGAATTATCTCCGATCTTAGTAAAGTTGCCTGAAGGAGAAATCGTTCCCAAATCTATAGAATGTGTCAAGTGTATTCCCTGTATTCAAGAATGTCGATGAATTCTTATCTTCGTCTCAGCATCGTCACTTCAGCCTCCTTTGTGTCATCAACAAACTTGTTGAGTTTATATTCAACAAGAAATTAAGTTGAGCACTACAATAGGCATCCACTTGGGCGACAAACAATACAGACTTCGATCGACTTGGTCCACTGCTGATATCCTAACTATGATAGCTCACAGAATCAGTGAAGCATTAGACAATAAATACATCTCAAGGACGATTGCATCAGACATATCGAAGACATTTGACAATGCGTGGTATACAGAGTGGCTATGCAACCTCTCCAGAATCACTGGAAGTGTTTTCTCAATTGTCAAGTTAGAGATAATGAAGGTAGTTGTTAATGGTCAGTCCTCTGAGAGCCATGATTACCTTTGTGCGTCCACTCGAAATATGGCGTAAATTTTGTTTCAAAACATAATATAAATTTCACAAGAGATTCTTTTCCCAGTATTCCGCAACCCAAAGTTAGAAGTACGTATTATACACGAGTTAGTATATTACACGAATAATTACGGTACTGTCCCAATACTGTGTCAAGAGTTTCTATCTTCGATTAGACGAACTGCTAGTGGGGAGATATATTTCGATGGAATAGAATGATCGAGGGAAGAGATGTGTCGAGTGGAGTTGATTGTAGATAATATACCGAAGGGAATCTAAAATACAGCATCACTTAATGTTTGTTTTACTTGTTACGGTTCGAAAGAATTAGCTTCTTAAAAACAATAAAATAATCATACTTTTTTTAATTTCCCATTGGTCGAGCTATCAAAAGAAATATTGTCACAATAAGAATTTCTGTATCTTGGGAATCGGTAAATCATTTCAGCAAACCACAAAGGATATAGAAATTCGAGACAAGAGGTCAGAACAAACAAAAATGAAATAATACTCTTATTTTCTGTTTAGGCTTACGGCTACATCGCGTTGCAACACCGGTTCCCGTACGATCACCTAAGTTAAGCAGCGTCGAGCCTGGTCAGTACTTAGATGGGTGACCGCTTGATAATACTAGGTGCTCTAAGCTTGGATGTGTGGGTGGTGTAATCGATAGCAACTCGGATTTTTTAATCAGAGAGTCGAGTTCTAGTTCCCGCTGGGTTCGTTATATTCACTTACGCGCACATATCATTGGGCTTTCCCAATGATATGTGCGCGTAAGTGAAGACCTGAATTCATCCCTTTGGATGAATTCAGGTCTTCCTTCCCCCAGATATGGGTTAATTAGTAAGAATTGCATCACTAAATCATTATTATGCTACTAAAATATTCTTACAACCTAAAAATATTTTTTGGCTCTAAATAACCTGAAAGGGGTTGATAATCCGTAAAAAATGAATCAATTATTCATTATTTCATGAATCCAGAGACTAATTATACAGCTAAAAGCTGAATTTATAATAATAATAATAATAATAATAATAATTATTATGGTCCGGTTCCTTGTACCACGGTGATAGTCCAAGGTAGAACCATTAAAGAAGAACTCGAAGGCGTATATGGAATAAAACAGATATATTACAAACAGGAAGATATACAGAGAACTAGAAGTGTTAGTATGAACAATCAAGTTTAGTAGAAAGAACAATGTAGTCTCGACCAGTATCACTATTCCAATGTCTTGCAGTAATTGTCTGAACGCGACTCTGTTTCGGACTGCCTCTGACTCGACTCTTGACTCGACTTGAACTACTGACTCCACTTGAACTACTGACAATATTCAGTCATCCCCCCCACACACACACACACTGAGGCAGCATGTGACACAAGGTCGGTTATTTATTGTGGGTTCTCCGAGCCCGTGGGTTCGGCCCAAAAATATGCCCATTGAACCCGTACAAACGGGTTCAGGGCCGGTTTACCTCCCCGAACGAGACTCCGCCTCTCGGCGTAGCCTCGTTCGGGTTCCTCCCCGCCCGAAGGCAGAGAGTTCGACTGAACAGTCGGTTCAGAAGTGAACGACTGACAATATTCAGTCACCCCCCCCCACGAGGGTGTCATGTGGCACAAGGCCTTTTTAACGTGGGCATTCCCGAGCCATTAGGCTCGGCCAAAAAATAGCCCATTTGAACCCGTATAAACGGGTTCAGGGCCGGTTTTACCTCCCCGAAAGAAAACTCCGCCCTTCGGCGTAGCCTCCTTCGGGTTCCTCTCGCCCGTAGGAAGAGAGTTCAAACCAAGCAGTCTGTTCAGAGTTGAACGACTGACTGACGATATTCAGTCACCCCCCCACGAGGGTGTCATGTGGCACAAGGCCTTTTTTTTAACGTGGGCATTCCCGAGCCATTAGGCTCGGCCAAAAATAGCCCATTGAACCCGTATAAACGGGTCCAGGGCCGGTTTTACCTCCCCGAAGGAGACACCGCCCTTCGGCGTAGCCTCCTTCGGGTTCCTCTCGCCCGTAGGAAGAGAGTTCAAACAAAGCAGTCTGTTCAGAGTTGAATGACTGACTGACTCCCTGCCTACTCCTGAGGCGCAGTATTTATTAAGTATGGAATAGTCCATTATCATTATTATTATGGTTAAGATCCCATAGCAATAATAATAATAATAATAATAATAGTAATTGTGATTAGAGACCGCAAAGACAAAATGTGCGTTATTGACATGGCCGTTCCTGCACACCGCAACATAGCTTCAAAAAACTATCAAAATACAAAGATCTTGAAATCAAAATCTCAAAAATGTAGCACATGAGGACATTAACAATTCCAGTTGTAGTTGGAGCACTCGGATTAATTGGGAAAGATTCCAATAGACTCATTGAAAGAATTCCTAGCATCCCATGCCTTAAAGAAATACAAAAAGTACAGCTCACACCTTACAAAGGGATTTATCTATGTAAAATATGTGCGATTTTTTCTAAAACTGTTCAGTGGAAAATGTTATGATGCCTTTTCTGAACTTAGCACTCTGGTCAGGACCCGGAATAAAATACAACAGAAACCAAAAGAAATAATAATAATAATAATAATAATAATTGCTCCTCCGGATGTAATGTGGGAGCATCATGCCCGGGTGTTTTTTCTTTAACTTTAATTTATGACTCAGCCAAGGTGACTTGATAGTCAAATCGCATAGTCGTTGTTGTCATTGTCTTTTCAAACAACGCCTATCGGTTTACATCATGGTGGATTAGTTCATGTGTCGCTGAGTAGACTAACACAGTAACGCCATACTTTTACCGCAAGTAGAGCATCTGAAAAGACTATAGATGGTAGTAGAGGATGGTTTTTGGGTGCGACATCCTCGACGACGTTCCCTTGCTTGTAGGAGAATTACGTCTGGATACCTGGAAACACCATCAATTTCAGACCGAGTTGACCATTTTAGGCCCCAGCTACAAGATTATGTGCTTCTTCTCTCAAAACGGGTCAACAGAACACGCACATTATGTTGTAATACATAAGTCTGGTGTAACCTTATAAGACTAAATATCATGATGGGTACGTTTGGCTTCGTATATTTGTACACCAACGTCAGTTTGCTAATGTTCTGCTCTCTCTCCCTCTCTCTCTCTCTCACACACACACACACACACACTCGAAAAATAATATTATTATTTTGGTCAGAAAGTCCTGCATCACCTAGGAAGCGGAAATAAAACAACAAAATTTTATGGAGCAACACCAACATTTATTCTTTAAAATAAAGTTCATCATTATCGACGATACTCAGCCAGCATCCGAATCTGTCCCAGATACCCGTCCGTTGGCTCTGAATAAAAAAAAAAACTATAAACAAGCTTCCTTCACTTCATCAAATATGTTGAATTGCTTATCTCGAAGTAAGTGTGCCATTGTGCAGATAGACCATAGTCACTGGGAGCAGCATCGGGACTGAATGGTGGATGTGGAAGAATCTTAACACCGTCCATCTGTTTGAATTTCTCCTTAGTCAACCTGGCAGTGTGTAGCCTCACATTGTCTTGCTGAAACAAAACCCGACCTCGATTGACCAAAGCAGGATACTCCTTCTATAGTTTGTCGTACACGCTGTCCAGCTACTAGCAATAAAGTTTAGCGTTGATGGCTCGACCAAGTGAAACAAGCTCGAAATACAGTACTGCTTGGAAATTCCCCCAGACAGAGATCAAGATTTATTGTTTTCATTACACTTCCTAAGCGAGTCAGGACTTTCCGGCCAACAAAGGATTATTTTGCATCGCCAATACAATTTCAGATTTTATTATTCCGATTGCAGTTTTTTACAAGAAAATTGGTTTGAAATACGCAGTGCTTGTAGAATTCCCAAGATATACTCATATATAAATACTAGGTGATCGAAAAAATGTATTTCTTTTTTGATATCTTATAACGTCTTTAATTTGTTTTGTTTTTTGTTTTTTTGTTTTTTTCAGATCAAATACACTAATATAATGGAGTACGGCTAATGTTGGAAGAAAGAAAATTTTTCATGGAGTGTCACAGTAAACAAGAAAATATCAAAGAAGTGCATGGTATCCCTAGCATCCTTCTGTAGAACCACACCTCTGCTGCTTCAAGTAATCGTCATCAGTATTTCTTCTATTGTCTTTGACTTCATCATTACTTGCAAAAGTTGGTATTGCTTTCAAGATATGGGCTTTAATTAAATACGCTTTTCTCCGTCAAAAGACAGTTGCAGTTTTTGTCAAAGATAGTCGCCTTGGAAATATCATCAATGTTGTCAGCTTATTAGACGTCTTTTTCATCTTCGGTCTCACTTCGATGTCCACAGAGTTATCCTTGTCCCTTTTCCTCGAATATCCTATTCACTATTGTTAGCTTTGTAAATGGTGAACCTTACTGTAAAAAAAAAAAAAGTTCTTTTGGTATTTATTGGGAAAGAGTGTACAGTATCAAAGACGGAGAATATATAGACATAGTCAGTGTGGACATAGGAATAACCCTTGCATCATGAAAGTCAGTTTCATGCTACAAAGCGATCTTCAGACCAAATGTCACTACTACATAAAATATAAAATACAAAATATATATGTATGTGTATGTATGTATATATATTTATATATTTTAGATATATGATTGCATATGTATGTGTATATTTACCACTAATATTATATATATATATATATATATATATATATATAGAGAGAGAGAGAGAGAGAGTGAGTTAGTGAGAGATAGAGGGGGAGAGAGACGTATCAAAAACTTCGCTGTTGAAATAAATTATAATTTATAACTGAGTTTTCGATGGTGCGTTAAGTTTTTTCCTTTAATATATATAAATATGCGAAATGGATCGTCAGACTATTATTTTTATTGCTGTACGTTACTTATATATACACACATATTAAAGTAAATGCTGTGTTTATAATAAACAGTATTAATATTTACCGGCCGGAACATATGAAAACATGCATGCCCTGAGAGGAATCGAACCTGTATCTTACATGGGGCCGTTATATTGCCTGACATGCTATACCAGTTTAGCTACGTTTGATCAGCAATGTCGGTTTTACTGCTTTTAAACTACAAATTTCCCATGAGGAGATATGGAGGTTCGCTCGTCGGGACAAGACGTTTACAAGTATTTCTTCTGAACATAGGAATTTAGAATCGATTACACTGAGATTAGAAAATACTTTTAATTATACTACAGACCTATAATTATTAACATATTTTCGAGGAACAAGTTATTATTTACAGAGGAAATCTACATGTTTGCTTCTTACATTACGTAATCGCAATGAATAAGGTACGAAAAGAAAAACACTTAGGGAAGTTTAGAATCTACAAAACTCTTTGAAAGCTTGATCTACACAGAAAGGATGTTCAGGTATTCCGTGATCCAAAAAAGGTCTTGCATGTGGATAGAAAAGGATTCCAGTGAATACCAAAAAACAGAAAGAGAAATAGGAAAAAAGTGGGTGTTCCCTCCGTACTGGCCGTATTTTTCAGTGTATAAGATGCAATTTTACCATAAAATCTAATGTCAAAATGTCATTGCGTCCTGTACACCGAAGTTTATAATTATATATACATACATATGTGTGTGTCATATATATACACAGGCCATAC